TAAATCTTGTTTATTACTGACGATCATTTTCTTATATGTCATTCCTTGTTATTTTATTCTGAACACTAACTTTGCTTATGGCGCCCAGAGTAGGAAATAATCTTTGACAGTGTCTTAGGCTGTAGGGGAAAGATTACTTTCTGCCCCTCATTCCCCATTCAAAAAGAATATATCTTTATTATGAAAGTAACGCCATCACTTTATATATGTTTTAGAAGGAAGGAAGAAAAATTGCCCACAGTCCCACTGGGGCAACTAATGGTAGTTAATGGCTGTGAACCTGTCACTTACCTATAAATATTTTATGTATCTTTACATACATACCTTTCATAACCGCAATCATACACTGTGGGTCTTGCTTTTCTTCCTCGGCTACTGTTTTCTATGTGGCTGCGTAGACCAGTCTCGCAGATTGTGAGGGTCCTAGGCTTTAAGTGCTCAGCACGGTGTCTGGCAGATGGGAGCGTCAGAAGGATGGGAGCGTCAGAAGGATGGGAGCATCGGCCATTCTCCTGTGACTTATCCAGAGTTTGTATTCTCTCCAATGGATGCCTAGATGTGAATTTCCCCCGTTCGGTGTTCTTCAGGTTTTTGAGAACTGGCACTTGCCACGTTGCTTCTGAAAAAGGCCATTTCCGCTCACAAAGCCCTTGGCGCACCTCGAAGTTTCACCAGTCCTCCAGGTCCCCTCCCACCATTTAAAAAAAAAAATATATATATATTTCTTTATTGATTTCAAAAAGGAAGGAAGAGGTAGAGAGAAAGAGAGAAACATCCATGATGAGAGAGAATCAGTGATCGGCTGTCTCCTATCATGCCCCCCCCCTGGGAATCAAGCCCGCAACCCGGGCATGTGCCCTTGGCCAGAATCGAACCTGGGACCCTTCAGTCCGCAGGCCGACACTCTCTCCACTGAGCCACACTGGCCTGGGCGCCTTTAGCTTTGGTAAGATGACTTAGCAGGTCAGGATGTTTCCTCGTTATTTTAAGTGTCATTATGTAAAATACTGCCAGTGTTGAACTTTTTTGTTGAGTGTTTCCTAGCAATGTTTTCTCCTCGTGGGGTTTCTTTATGACCCATTTAACAGTTGGAACCACTTAAAATTTTCTTATTGAATTTCATGGGCCCTTAAAAAAAGACATTAGTCCTTTGTCACAGGAACTGCAAGTATTTTTCCTGACTTAGTCTTGTTTTGGTTGTTTTTTTTAATTTTATTTAATTTTAGCACAATGCATTTTTTTCTCTTTTTCCTCCCAAATATATTTTATTGATTTTACAGAGAGGAATTGAGAGGGACAGAGAGTTAGAAACGTCGATGAGAGAGAAACACCGACTAGCCGCCTCCTGCACACCCCCCACTGGGGATGTGCCCGCAAGCAAGGTGCATGCCCTTGACCGGAATTGAACCCAGGACCTTTCAGTTCGCAGGCTGACGCTCTATCCATTGAGCCAAACCAGTCCCGGCTTGGCTGTGTTTTTAAAATCTCTCTCTCTCTCTCTCTCTCTCTCTCTCTCTCTCTCTCTCTCTCTCACACACACACACACACACACACACACACACACACACGCGTGAGCCACCTCCTGTCTGTGGCTGTCTACAGCCACCTGCTCACCACCCCCTCTGTCGGACGGTGCCACCCCGAGTCCAGCAGGAGAGACTCCCAGCCTCGCAGGCTCCTAGCAGAGTGGACACCTGTCCGTCACAGGACATGGGATGTGCTTTACCACCGGGAGTGCAGTCTGAAGGACACGGGCTCTTCACAGACCAGGGAGCGTGTTTCCCGTGGTTTCGGGGAGCAGAGCAGACAGGAAGGAGCTGACAGGACTATTGCTTGGATTTTATGACAGGCTGTAACTTCAGCTCTTTCCAGCTGGGGTCCTCCAGCCCCCCAGCCTTTCCTCTAGGTCCCGGGTTTCTGAGGACGTCCCAGCAGATGCTCATGGGGCATCGCAAGGCCTCGGCCAGGCTCTCCGGGCTCCTACGCTCAGCTACCCCTGCCTAGCTTTTCTCAGATTGTTTTCCTGCAAAGAGACACTAGGACTCGAGGGGGTTTGCCCATTAAGAAATGCTGCTAACCCTACCTTCTCCTCCGAAACTTCTTTCCCTGCAGGAGGATGCGATCCTGCCTGAGGGCTCCATGTTCACCTTGGGGAGCCTTGCGTGGGCTTCCTTAGCCAAGTCCGTCTACGTGACGTGCTAGCCACCAGCCTCGGGCGTGGCGGAAGGCGGGGGGCCGCCGTGTCTGGATCTCAGGGGGGAAGCCACGCCGTGCTGTTCTTCTGGAGGAAGTGTGTTGAGTTTCTTCTCAGGCTGACAAGCTGGAGTTGCCACGTGCGTGGCCTTGGCAGCCCCTCAAGAAGGATGCCAGACACGGGAGCAGACCCGAGGGAAGTTGACTTTGAGGCTCCCGGTGGCACTGATATAATAAGAGCACTGATGCCCAGCGGGTGTGGCTCAATGGGTGAGCACTGATCCACGCATCGAGAGGTTGCTGGTTCCATTCCCAGGTGGGACACATGCCCTGGTTTCAGGCTTCATCCCTGGTGAGTGTGTATGTTGGGGAGTGGTGTGGGAGGCAGCCAGCCGATGTTTCTCACTTATAGTTCTCTCTCCCTCTCCCTTCCTCTCTAAAATCAATAAAAACACATTTAAAAAAAAAAGAGAGAGAGAGAACTGACAACTAAAGGGAGATCCTCAGAGTTATTCCAGACTGTTTGCCAACTCCCTTTCCATTAAAATATTTTATTGATTTTTTACAGAGAGGAAGGGAGAGGTATAGAGAGCCAGAAATATCAATGAGAGACATCGATCAGCTGCCTCCTGCACCCCCCCCCCCCCACTGGGAATGTGCCCGCAACCAAGGCTCATGCCCTTGATAGGAATCGAACCTGGGACCTTTCAGTCCGCAGGCCGACGCTCTATCCACTGAGCCACACCGGTTTTGGCAGTCTCTTTCCATTTTCACCTTCAATTGCCCTTGATTCTTGGCGGCCCTTCCACTCTGCCCCTTGCCAAGGAGCCCTATCCTCCGCCCTCATCTGCGTGCAGGTGCGTGACGGAGCCCGGACGGCGGATGTCTGAGCTGGAAGGACCTGCACCTGGGTTTCCCATCGCCGCGGCCAGGACGAAGGCCCACGAAGACACTGCACGGACGTCCGGCTCTAGATCTATAAATATATTTATTATAATATAACAAGAACTTAACAATAAACATATACTATGTACAATACCGTTACAGAGAACCCTGTTTATGTCATTCACAGAAATCGCCAGCTTTGCTCCAGTGTGATGGGCGAGGAGAGAGACGGAGTTCCGATGCCGCCGGTGCCGAGCCCGGCCGACCGCTAACACCTCCTTTGGAGGCAGACGCGCAGCCCACGCGGACGCAGCCCCGCCCCGGGCAGTCAGAGATTTGTGCTCCAGTCCTTGGGTTCCCACGGGCACCCTGTTTGACATAAATACTTTAAAGGACATACAACGTATGTAGTTTTGTGCTTATTACTTTTTTAAAAGAATAAATAATAGTAGAAACTGCATAACGAAGCCCGGCAGCATGTCCCTGTGGGAGGGCGCTCCCTCCCCCTCCCCCTCCCACTCCCCGGCCGTGCGGGCCCTGGAGCTCGGTCGCCAGCGCGGAGACACGGGGAGCGTGGTGGCCTGTCCTTTTCTCCTCGTAAGTGGCTTTTTAAAAAACTTTTTAAATCATGAAATGCAAGTGGACGTCCCAGATATAAAAATGGTAAATGCGTATTTGGTACCAACTTCAGCTGCACAGGCCATGGCGGCGGCATTTCTCCCGCCCCGGAATGGACACGGACCGGCGGGCAGGCCTTTCCCTCTGAGCCACCACAGGTGGTCTCCCTCCTGGTTTCTCTCTCTCTCTCTCTAAGAAGCCCGCGCCCCGGGCCTCGGCTGCCACGGCTCGGCTAAGAAGGCTGCCCCATCCAGGTGCCCTCCTCCGGAGCTGAGCCTGTCCAACACAGGCCCCTGTGCTTCGTGGACACTCCTCCCGTGCTCCGCCCCCGGGGCCCGGCCTCAGCCTCCCCCTCCCCCGGGAGGGAGCTGGTGGCCGCCTGCTACAGCAGCCTCTTTACCGGACACGTCCCCGGCTCTTAGGGGGCTGTCTGGGCGTTACTTTTTCTAAAAATAAAGCGGGTGCCTCTGTGCCACCCAGAAGAGATCCATCCTCTCCTCCGCGCGTAGAAAAACCAGAGCCCGGGCCACCCCGGCAGGACCTCCCGGAGCTCCCTGCGCCTGGACGCCGCCTCTCCGCTTAAAAAATAGCCTTTTGTTTATCAAGAAAATGCCTCGGAAAGCTAAATACTTCGTATTGGATAAGAGAAAGCTAGCACAATCATCTTGTCCTTCTGCAGCAAAAACGTGGTAGAAAGACCTGGGAAGGACAGACGCTCTCCCGACTGTCCCTCCGGCTGCCCCGCAGCGGGTCCGGCCACGGCGGGCCACGGCGGGCCCTGCGTGGGGACCAGCAGCCCCGGGCCGCGCATACCGGGGGACCAGCAGTGCCCTCGGCCGCCGGGAGTGCAGACTGGTTAAACACACAACAGGAGTCAAAGTGGTAAGGACACTTTGATCTCACTCCCAGGGCGCCTGACGCCTACCATCGGGACAGGAGAACCGATCCGTGGTGGCCCAGGGGTCCGGCTTGCTCTGCAGGAAGGAAAAAACAGCCGCTCTCTCCCAGTTGAAAAATAAGTGAGACTCTATTGCACCGGGCAGAGGGGGCGCCTCCGGCAGAGCAAGGCCCCCCGCGGAGCCCGAGGCTGGCCGGCGGGCGGGCGGCCCCTGTGCTCCGGGCTCAGCCCGGCTCCCCGAAGGCCAGGGTGACTCCCGACCGCCCCCGGTGCGGAGTGTCCGGACGCCGGCGCCTCGGGTCCCGGCTGCGCGTGCCGGCCTCGGTGGTGCGGCTGAAAACCGACCCTGTGGGCAGCGCGTGCCTCACCGGACTCGCCCACGTCCCCCGTGGCCCCGCCGCCGCCGTCAGCCGCTCTGGATGTACTTCTTGATCACCACGCAGCCGTGCCTGAACACGGGGCAGGGCATGTGCGGGAGGAGCGTCCAGGAGTTGGTGGCGGGCTCGTAGGCCTCCATGTTGCCCAGCGCCGGCCCCTCGCTGCTCACGATGCCCCCCGTCGCGTAGATCTTGCCGTCCAGCACCACGGCGCTGCCAGGGGAAGCGGGAGGGCGTCAGCCGCCGACCCGGAGACACAGCCTCCCGCCCGCTGAGCTGAGCGGCAGCTGCCGCCGCTCTTGTGCAAAAGCCACGGGGGACCCTCTGCCCTCTGCCCTCAGCTGTCTAGGGAAGGCCTCTTTCCCCGCGGCCCAGTGGGACGCCACGCCGCACGGCCCTTGGGGCTGTGGGTGACACGTGCATCCTGGTGCCTAAGGCCTGCGGGGCCGACTAAAGAGGGACTGCCTCCTGGACGGGCTCTCGGCTCAGCTCACCGAGTCCCATGCCCCGATGCCCAAGCCGAGCCCTCCTGCCGCTCGGATCCCGAGGCCCAGGGGTGTGCAGGGGGGAGCACGCCACTCACTAGGAGGCGGCGAAGGCAGCCGGCCATAGCTGAGCACAGCCCAGCTTGCACCATGGCCGGGGCTCAGTCCCAGCTTCCTGCTTCGGTTCCGTACCCGCGGCCTTACCACCCAGGACTGCGGCCGGGTGCTCTCCGAGGGGTGACCACGGGGTCCCTGCGCCTCCCTCACTGGCGTGGTCGCTCCTGGCAGCTCCCCACGCTGTCCTGTCTGCATTTCCCAAACCCGTCCTCCTCTCGGCCGCCCCTCATGCAGACCCACGCGTGGGGACCCACGGGAGCAAATGGCCATTTCTCCTTGGCTGTCAGCTGAGCAGATACCCTTTGAACGCCTCCGCCCCTTCCTGCAACCCCGAGCCTCCGACAGAACACGTCAGCCTAGACGGCTCAGCGGACTCCAGAGGTCCCTCAGTTGCTCCCGCCATCAGGGCCCCACACCCCTCCCTCTGGGGCACAGCTTCTCCCCGCTTCTCCTGCAAGACCGTGCTCAAACCTCCCCTTGGCGTGCCGTCTTCCTGTACCCTGCTCAGGCTCCAGCTCCTCAGCAGCGGGGAGTCCTCCCACAGCCCTGCTCAGGCTCCAGCTCCTCAGCAGCGGGGAGTCCTCCCACAGCCCTGCTCAGACTCCAGCTCCTCAGCAGCGGGGAGTCATCCCACAGCCCTGCTCAGGCTCCAGCTCCTCAGCAGCGGGGAGTCTTCCCACAGCCCTGCTCAGGCTCCAGCTCCTCAGCAGCGGGGAGTCCTCCCACAGCCCTGCTCAGGCTCCAGCTCCTCAGCAGCCGGGAGTCCTCCCACAGCCCTGCTCAGGCTCCAGCTCCTCAGCAGCGGGGAGTCCTCCCACAGCCCTGCTCAGACTCCAGCTCCTCGGCAGCGGGGAGTGAGTCGGAGGTGCCCGGTGCACACCACGAGAGGGTGCGACGTGAGGAGGGCTGTGGGACCTTCGCCTTGTCCCGCTGCTAGGACCTCGGGGGAGGAGGGTTCCCTCTCCAAGGTCACACCTCAGGCTGGGGTGTTAACTAGGCCACACAAACGGGCTGCATCCGTGCTCCCTGCGGTCCGCACGAGGACCGGTGAGCCCGCTGCAGGGCTGAGCAGTCCTGGGACGCGGTCTGCTATGGAAATGCTAAGAAGGGGGTCTTGGGGCTCCTCTGTATTCCCCGTTCCTCTTGGCCCAGGAATGGGGCGGAGCAGCAGGTCTGTGTCTCACTGCCCCCGGGAGTCCGTTTTTCTGGGCCACAGGGCCAGGGCGACGGCACCAGGCCACACACTGACCTCGCCCATGCTGTCCCAGGTGCAACACGTGTGTGTTTCTGCCCAGGCGTCTGTGAGACTCCGAGTGCCACTCGCTGGGCCCAGCTCCGAAGGGCCCCCAGGATCATTGCACCATCAGAGCACGCCCTGGACAGAAGCCGCTTGTCCCGGGAGGGCTTTGTGCAGCTCTGGTCTGGCGCTGCCCCTGTCTGCCATGGGTAGGTAGCCCTGGGGGAAGCTGACCTACCTTGAAGGACCCGGGCAGGTCCCCTTGGGAAGCCCTTCCTTTCCGGCTCGGAGAGAGATGGGGCCCGCTGAAGCCACAGGGCTGGGCTCTGGGCCAGGGGCTGCCTCGGGCAGGCGCTCCACACTCTGCCGGGCACCAGTGCCCACGCCTGCATCTGCCGGGGCCGCTGCACTGGGCCTGGGCCCCCCTTTGGTCCATGCATGGAGGTCACTCATTGCGCTCAGACCTCTCCTCCTGTCCTGCCCTCCCTTCCCTTCTCCTTCCCGCCGGGCGGAATGGCTGCCGCCCGCTCACCTGCAGAACTGGCGGGAGTGGTTCATGTTGGGGCCCGCCTTGATGTTCCCCTTCTCGGGGTCGTAGATGGTGGTGGCCCTGGCGTAGGCCCCGCCCAGGATGAACACGAGGCCGTTGAGGGTGACGGCAGGCGCGTACTTGTTGTCTGCGGGGAGAGCAACCAGGCGGTCAGGGCCTGGCTCCGGCCTTCTCTCCCCTCTTCCTCCCCAGGGACCCCCCAGAGCATTGTTCTGCAAACCACGGCTCTTTGGCCCCTTGAGTGTGGCTCTTCCACAAAACACCACAGCCTGGGTGAGTCTATGTTGAAGACGTGGCATTAGAAGTAGTTTAAGTTTCAAAAATGTGGCTCTCCAAAGAAATGTTGCTGAAACCGGTGTGGTTCAGTGGATAGAGAAGGTCCCGGGTTCGATTCCGGTCAAGCGCATGTACCTTGGTTGCGAGCACATCCCCAGTAGGAGGTGTGCAAGAGGCAGCTGATTGATGTTTCTCTCTCATCGATGTTTCTAACTCTCTATCCCTCTCTCTTTCTCTCTGTAAAAAATCAATAAAATATATTAAAAAGAAAGAAAGAAATGTCCATCATTGTAGTGTGGATACTTGGCTCTGTGGACTAACGAGTTTGCCGACCACTGGCCCAGAGGAAGGGAGCTGGAGAGGCCTCCGTGTCACGGCCCGGCCCGTGGACGGGGCCTGGGGCTGGGAGGCACACGGAACAGCCTGCCCTCGGTCCTGGCAGTGAGATCCACAGCTGCACGTGGGCTGGGTTCGCCTCCCCCTCCCTCCCGCCCCTGGGCCTGGGTCCACAGGAGCATGGGGCTGAGCCCGCCCCTGGGCCTGGGCTCCTGAGATCCAACAGAAGGACGCGGTGGGGACGCTGCCCGGGCCCCGGGCGGGGGAGACGTGGTTCTCACCGATCATCGGGGACTCGATGAAGCTCCACGAGTTGGTCTGCGGGACGTAGGACTGGAGGACGCCCGCCGCCCGGCCCGCCTCGTTCACGCCCCCGAACACGTAGACCTTGCCGCCGCACACGGTGGCCGCCGCGGAGTGCACGGCCTTGGGCAGCGGGGCCACGGCCTCCCACTGGTTGGTGATGGTGTCATACCTGCCGAGAGGGGAGAAAAGGCCCTGAGGTCAGAGTGCGCGGGTGCAGGGCAGGAGGCAGCAGATATCGGGGGCGCCACTGGCACAGCCCGGGTCCCTCGGAGGAGTCGCTCAAGGCCACGGGGCACTGGCCCGCACTGGCCCTCCCAGCCTTCCTCCCCACCGGAGAAGTGACCGGACAGGAGGGCGTGAGAACAGGAAGCAGCCGGCAGAGGAGGGGAATTGGAATTGAGTGGGTCGGGCGGGGAATGGGACCTTTCAGGTCCGTCTTCCCGGGCCACGTCGGGCCCAGGTCTCAGCGCCCGTGCCCTGTTCCTCGTGTGCTGGCCGCCCCGCGCTGGCCCGTCCACACTGCCGGCTGCTCCTCCGTGTGCTCCGGATCCAGGCAGACCTCCTCCTGCTCGCTCTCCTCCCAGGACCTCTCCCCCGGGAGCACACGGCCCACTTGTTGCCATGGACCTCTTTGCACCATGAGCCGTGACCCGGCCACAGCTCAGCGACCGCGGAAGACAGCCCTGGCTCCGGGTGGGGGGTGAGGGGACCACGGTGGCACGTCCAGCTCGGAGCCGCGAAGACTCGGCTTCTGAGAGAGGCTGAGCGAGGCCCCGGCTGAAGACGTGCTGATAGGGATGCAGTGAGTGTCTCCTTGGACAGTGTCAGACGTTCAGGTGTCTGTGTTCTAAGCCAGGATGGCGGAGAGCCAAGGCGCTCCTGCAGAAGGGGGCAGTGTGGCTCTCGGTGCAAGGGCACATTCCGTCCAACGCAGCTCTCCCTAGGGCCCGGGGTTCCAGGTGGCTGTTGGCCAAGCCACAGCCTCCGTCCCCTCACACCCTGGAGGATATGCCAATGACATGCAATGACCACGAGGAGTGAGGCGCTCCACTCCGATCCTTTATCCAGTGACCACAGCTCTGTGATAGATGGCTATCAAATACGAGCCTCAGTGATTTATATAATGATATCGTACACGCTTGTCTACTGTACTGTCGTTTTCATCTCTAATCACATAATCTTGCTCTAGTCCTGCGATACAATTAGAATGCAACCATATATTGCATTCATTATCGGTAGGAGAGCAAATTTGTACCATCAGTGCTTCCTGGGGAACAAGCATCCTGGTACATGGCCCCCGTACCCCCACCTTCCTGTCGCCCTGTTTCTCATCATTGCCACCATGTGCCATAGCGCTCGACCTGCCCAGAGGGCTCAGCTCTGCCCCCTCCCCTCACTTGCACTCACACCACCCAGGGATCTTCAAGTCTGCAAACAATCCTTAGCAGGCCAGCTGGCAGACCCAGGAGGCTGACAAAGGGCACCTGCTGTCCTGGGCTTCTCCGTCTCCTGGGTGCCAGGGTGTCTGGTCACTCTGTGCCCACCCCAGGGTGGGGGGGGGAGCCGGGAGAGACTGCTCCCAGGTCGGGGAGAAGTGCCCCCGGGCCCATGGGCAGTGGAATTCAGTGTTTGATCCTCAAACAAATCCCCGTATTTATCAACAAGTGTACTTTTGCAAAGTGAGTTATCAGCGTCTTAGGAGATTAAGAACAGGTGACAAAAGCAAGACAGGAGGACGGCTCTGACCTAGACAACGTCTCCTGGTCCCTGCGCTTGTGACTGGGTGACCGAGTGGGAGTGGGGCTCCGGAAGGCCTGGGCGTGGGGGCCGCCCGGTGGGCCCCGCCAAAGGCTGTCAGCGCCGGGGCTGACCGGGGGGTCCACGGCAGGATCCGCCTCTCAGTCACATGGGGATTCCCCGTGACCTCCACGTCAATCTGACAGTGCAATGCTGTCCCCGAGCCAGCGCTGGCTCCACGTGGGGGAGTTAAAAGCCCACGGTGAGCACGCCCGGCCCGCCTCACTCTGAAACCGCCTTAGCTGGGACATCTGTCAAAAGGGTCCAGGTAGGCCAAAACCGGTTTGGCTCAGTGGATAGAGCATCGACCTGCGGACTGAAGGGTCCCAGGTTTGATCCCGGTCAAGGGCATGTACCTTGGTTGCGGGCACATCCCCAGTAGGGGGTGTGCAGGAGGCAGCTGATCTATGATTCTCTCTCATCGATGTTTCTAGCTCTCTCTCAATCCCTCTCTCTTCCTCTCTGTAAAAAAATCAATAAAATATATATTTTTTAAAAAGGGACAAATTAGCCGGCGAGGGAAACGCACACAAGGAGGGCCCATGCGGGCAGAGGGCTGTCCCACAGGGACCTCTGCTTCCCGTGGCGCTGGTGACGTGGGCGGGGAGGTGGGCTGGGCGTGGGAAGGCCGTGGGGAAGGGCTCCGGGGTCCTGGCTGTGTCCTGTGCTGGAATAGGGGCGGCTCAGCCTCCCTCTCACTCTCTGGGGCGTCTGTTTTCCTAAAAGCAGGCCCGCCCCGAAGCCTCCGCCCACGCTGCTGCCGCTCCCCGGCCTACACTGCCCCCTATTGGTGGCCCCGGTTTCAATGGCCCGTGGAAGCGGGCGGGCATATACTCGGGGTGCTGGGGCCCACTGGCTTCTGTTCTCTCCTGGAGAGGTCTGGAAGATTGGCGATCATGCTTGTTGATAAATACAGGGATTTGGTTGAGGATCAAATACACCTGTGTGCAGGGCGCCTTCCCGTGTTGGAAGAGGATTTCCTGGTCTGGGCGGGATGGAGGGAGAGGGGGGGCTCCCAGGTGTGGAACCCCACACTCGGCAGGGATACAGAGGCATGGTCATTGGGATGGCACACATTTGGGCCAACAGCTCCTGCTTCCCCTTACATCCCAGCCAATCCGGTCCCGGCGCGTTCTCTCCAGCTAAGCCCCACGGGTGCCTCCCTCCGCCTCCCCCCCACCCCACCCCGGGGTCTCAGGTCTCCCGCCGGAAGGGGCTGCTGGGACGAGAGAGTCCCATGTCAGTAACCAGCAGCTGGGGGCCTGCTACCTCCCCTTCCCAGGCCTCTCACTCTGCAGGGCATCCATGGCCCTACGGACGCCCAGGCTCTAGTGGCTCAGGGGTGGGTGCCGGGAAGGAGGAGAAGGAGGGTTTAGCTTCCGATGAATTTCAGAGGATGCCCGCCCCTGCCCCGCGGGTGGCCGTGGCCCCTCACCTCTCCACGTGGTCCACGTTGCCGGCCACGCCCAGGCCCCCGAGGGTGTAGATCTTCCCGTCGTAGACCAGGCTGTTGTGCCGGCAGCGGGGGACGGTCATTCTGGAGACGAGGTTCCAGTTGTCCAGCAGGGACATGTAGCACCAGACGTCGGCCAGCGTCACCCCGGACTCCATCCCACCTGCAGAGGGCGGTGCAGAGAGCAGGCGGGGCGTGAGGAGGGGCTGCGCGGGGCTCCCCAGCTCAGGGGGGCAGGTCCGGAGGAGGCTCTGCCTCCGGAGTCAGCACTCCCGGCCCCCGGTGTGCGGGAGGGAGGTAGGGGAGGCGCCCGGGCCCCCACGCCCCTCCCTGCCGCCCGCGGGCCTCACCTGAGAGGTAGATGTTGTCCCCCGCGCTCACGACGCTGAAGAACTCGCGGTCGTAGAAAGGCAGGGAGGCCAGGGGGTACCACTTGTTGTTCTGCGGGTTCCAGCAGGTGACGGCCACCAGGGAGCGCTGGGTCATCCCCACCATCTGCCGGCCCCCGACCAACACGATGACCTCAGCCACGCCTGCGGGCACAGGTGGACACGCTTGGGACCGCTCTCCCCCCTCCTCTCCCCCCACCTCTCCCCCCACCTCCCACACCTGCAGCATCTGCACCCGGCCCGGGCCGCCCTGCGGGGCTGGGGGCACGGCCCCCCATACCTGCGGAGAGGCGCGGCCGGGTCCGGGGCGTCTGCATCTCCTGGCGGGCGTGGGGGAGCATGTGGTAGCGCTTGGCCTCGTTGACCAGGTCCCGGCAGGCCTCCGAGGACTTGATGAGCTCCTCGTTGTCCACCACGTTGAGCAGGTAGCTGGGGTGGATGAAGGGCAGGCGCACCACGGCCAGGAGCTCCGCTGCGTACTGGCCGGGGGACACGGGGCTGTCAGACTGGGCAGGGGGCCGGCCCCCGCGGGCACGGAGGCTGCTGCCAAGGTGGCTCAGTCTTGGGCCCCTTGAGCTTTTAGCAGAGGCCAGCTTTGGAGGACCCTAATTAAGTCAATTACAAGGTACCCGCCTACAGAGTTTAAGTTTTAAAAATGTGGCTCTCCAAAGAAATGCTGATTGTTGTGCCGTCGATCTGTGGCTCTGTGGACTAATGAGTTTGCCCACCACTGGCCCAGCCTCGGCAGAGAGAGAAGGAAGCCCCCAACCCCGGCCAGTTTGGCTCCGTGGGCAGAGTGTCAGTCTGTGAGCTGAAGGGTCCCGGGTTCGATTCTGGTCAAGGGCAAGTACTTGGGTTGCGGGCTGGATCCTTGGCCCTGGTCAGGGCTCATGTGGGAGGCAGCCCATCGATGGGTCTCTCTCACATCACTGTTTTTCTCTCTGTCTCTCCCCCTCCCTCCCACTCTCTGTAAGAATCACTGGGAAAATATTCTCCGGTGAGCACTATCAACAACAAAAAGGCAGCTCCCAGCAGCTGGGGGCGATGAGAGGGAGGAACCGGGAGGTCTGGCCAGCTGCAGCTGACCGGGGGCTGGACGGTCCATCCGACCCTGCAGCTCCTCACTCTCACCTCCACCCCCATCATGGGCCTTTGCTCCATGCCAGGCTGCAGGGGGCTGAGATGGAGGGCCCAAGCCTCGAGCCTCGGAGAGGGGTGCCTGGGGCAGGAGCCCAGGAGCAGGTGGGAGGGCCCAGGAGAGCTGATGACCATCAGCTTTGGGAAGGAGATGATGATTGACAAGCTTGCCAATCACAACCGTCAGAACCTGTGTCCCCTCAACACCCACCAACAACCCCCTTCAGGGGCGCCCCTCTGCCTCAGCCTGGCGCTTGGGCCCGCCACAGAGCGGGAGCTGCAGGGCGGGAAGGAATCTGGCGGGGACTGGAGGCAGGACGGCTCAGGGGTGACTGGGCATCCTGGAGGCCGGGGAGGCCTCGGTGCGCGGGGAGAGGGAGCGTGGAGGCACAGGTGGACCACAGTGTGGGCACCTGTGCGGCTAACCTGGCTCCCAGTCCCCCCTATGGGAGCCACAGCAGCTCCATCCGAGGGCCTCCAGATGGGCTTTCAGGCCCGGAGACCCCGCTGGGATGTGCTTGGTGGGTGTCCTGGGACTCAGGTGCCCCTGGGATTCTGCCCCTCTTCCTCCTGCCTGGATCCGGCCCCATCTGCCCCGGCCGCCCGCTCCCGGGGACTCACTTCCTGTGTGCGGCGGGTGCCTCCACCTTCCCAGGAACCAGCGCATGGGTGCTCCTCCCCTGGTGGGAGCTCAGCGGAGCTCCGGGTGCCCTGCCTCGGGCACTCTCCTCCCCGAAGGGCCCCGACGTTGGGCCCCGGGCCCTGTGGCCTCTCGGCCAGCTTGGGTCTCCTGCCAGTGGAATGCCAGCCCTGGAGAGCCAGGGGCCTGGTTTTGCATCTCTCACCCCTCCCTTCGCCTGCCTGCTGCCCCGGAAGCGGTTGCAGCATCCCTGGGGCGGAGCCTACGGGCAGCCCGGCTTCTACTTCCTGCCTCCTGGCCCGGATGCCCGGATGCCCGGGTGCCCGAGCCGAGAGGGGCTGGGCCGGAAGCAGGGCCGGGCCTCACCTGTGCCCGGGACGCGGGGTCCTTCTTGATCCACTTGATGACCGTCTCGTACACCAGCTCCTCGGCCTTGGTGTTGAGGCTGTCGTTGGAGATGTAGGCGATGAAGTCGTCCTTGGCGATGCCCAGGATCTCCTCCTGGGCCGCCACCTCGGGGAAGATCTGCAGCGCGAAGGCCTTGGCCATGTGGTAGAGCTCGCTGCATTGCATGGCCTCCGCCATGGCCAGCACCCCCAGGCAGTTGCTGGCCGTCAGCTGCTTCTCTGGGGGCAAGAACACGTGGCCACTGACCGCGGGGCCCTGGGTGGGTGCCACCGGCGCTCGCTGCCTGTCCCTCCGGGTCCTTCTCTGAGCCCGTGGCCGGGGGACCCGCCTTGGGCATCCAGGGTGCCGGGGAGCCCACTTCCTGTGTCCGTGTCCGGGGTTTCCCGCTGCCCCGCCCCTGCGGGCTGTCCCAGGGCCTCCCTTGGCTCCTGGGGGTCCCAGCAGAAGACGGTGAAGTATGGAGAAGCTTCCTCACCGCCCGTGGGCCACGGGGCAGGGGTGGGGCTCGCACTGGAGGCCTGTGGTGCCTCCCATAAGTGTGAAGGGCATGCCTGGGGTCACACACCCCTACTTCAGAGTCATGGGGGCAGTAGCACGCCGTCTATGCTCACCCACCATCACCCACAGGCCTCAGTCCACCCCACCGACCTGCAGACCCGGCTCAGCCTGGTCACTCCCCTGAGATCCCACGAATGGTTATTCCAGCCTCCAAGTGTCTGGGTCCCAGGACACCCATATTTTTGGGAGCCCAACTCTGAGGCTGTGGCTCCTGGCCCTTCTAGATTGCTCTGTTCCCCTCCCCGCTGACCTCCCTCCCCAACCCCCGTGGTCTCCTGTCCCTACGCTCAGCCCCTAGTGCTCTGGCTGCACTCCATGCTCAGGCCCCGATTCTGGGGACCCTCTCCCCGAAGCCGGGCAGCTCCAAACCGTAGAACAAGTGTGTTCTCCGGCTGGGGGTCCCCGACACTCAGATCCCCAGCCCGGACGGCAGGTCTGCGTGTCCAAGAGACAGTCCACGTAGACCTGCGTGGCCACCTGGTACACGTATGGTGCAGGTGTCACACGCGGAAGAGGGACATGAAGCGTGTGGCTCCTCGGTCCGTGTTTAGAGGACAGGGCTGGGAGGCCCGGGCCCAGGATCCCCATGAATGAACCATCACATGACCCCCGGGGCCCCCTTTGTCCTCACAGAGCTGCCCGGGCCTGGGGGAGCGATGCAGAGGCCCCCTGGGTCCATGCCGGTGAGCAAAGGCCTTTGCACACCGTTACCCAAATTATCATCTTCAAAACCGCTCTGTGAATGCCGGCTGCACCTACAGGGGGTGCACACACAGCCCTCTCCCGTCATCCCCGCTTCCCCGGGGGCCGGCGCTCCCGGCTCACCCAGGAAGGACACGCAGACCCTGCAGAAGGTGTGGAACTGGAACTTGCTGGCCGCCTCCAGCAGCGTCTTGGCGTTGGCTGCGTCGATGACCAGGGAGCCCGTGTACACAAACTCCAGCAGCAGCTCCAGGACGTCCGCCTGCAGGTTGGACAGGACGAGCTCCAGCTTCTCCCGGCCGCCCTGGCCGCCGTCTTGCACCGACCTAGGCACAGAGACCAGGCGTCCTTACCCGCCGGCCCGGCCGCGGCCGCTCCGCACAGGCCTGGGCCTCCCTGCACGCCTCGGTCACTCCCTGCGCTCTTGGGGACACGCCAAGGACACACCTGAACCTAACGACCTCGCGCGGGAATCTGGAAGAGAAGAGCCTGACCAGAGATGCCCAGAAAGGAACAGAAAGCCCTGCGTATCACTACTCGGCATGTCCATGCAAAAAAAAGGATGCAAATCAAAAAGCATGAGCGGAGGATGGGGACGAGGACCGGGACTGGCCTCAAAGGGAAACAATACGGTTCCGCCCCGCCACCGCCGGCCCCGGCGTCTCCGCCACGCGGCCCGCGGGCCCCGTCCGCCTCCGGAGGGAGAGTCTCCATCGGGACCGAGGCTCCCCTGGGCTGCGCTCACAGCCCGTCCGGGGCCGCCCCTCAGCACCCCGAGAGAGACCGAGGGCCCCACGCTGCCCCGGACACTCGCTCCAACCCCACCTCCTTCCAAAAGCATATTGTTTCCTTTTAGGCACGAGGAGGAAGCCCTTCATGACATTGCTTTGGAACTGAGGACGAGACGAGACAGACGGACAGGATGGTTAGAGCTGGGACGGGGAGTGGGGGAGGGAGGGAAAACAACCAGGGACTTCCGCCACAGACAGCCAGCAGCCATGACCTGGGACCTGGCCCCGGGGCGGGGGGAGGGGCCCTCCTGCCACATGAACACGGGGTCAGAGGTCAGAGTGGCCTTGTGTGTAGAGGGGTGATGCATCGGGCTTGTGAACTGCGGGGGGGAGGGGAGCAGGGGAGGGACACAAATATATAAATAGGTTTATATCTGGTGTCTACAGGAAGACACAACCGTGGCAAGGAGCGGCTCCTGAGGCCTGGCAGCCGCGCCCCTCGAGCCGGACCTGGAAGGAAACAGATAAGATGAAGCAGAAGTCACAGCGGAACAGGAAGAGAAACGCGTCAGGAGGCAGGTGTCCCCCAGGCAATGGGCGTGGCACCTGTCTCAGCCCGCCTGGCCCCTCCCCCTCGTCTCATCGAGCCCAGGTCTGCGGGGCTGGGCTCAGCTGCGGTCCCAGGAAATGACCTCTCTGCCACCGCCCCCCCCCCCCCCCCCCGAGGCGGCCAGGGGCCGAGTCTCCTGCCTGGCCCCTTGGGTGCCCTGCGGCTGGCAGGAGGGTATGAAGCATCCAGAAAGTGAGCAGGCCCGCCCCGGAGGCCGCCACCTGTTGGCAGGGAGCTCGGGGGACCTGGGCGCCATGGGGCTGTCCCTCCCGGGCACAGCCGTCACCTCCCTGGCCCTCAGGCTCCTCTTCTGCAGAACAAGAGGCTGAGCTGGGTGCTGGAGTCGCGTGGGGACACCCTTCCCATGAGGCTGTTCTACCCGCAGCGCCTGAAAGAGAACTGGCCTCAGCACTGGCCTCCCGGGGCCAAGAAAACACAGAGGTGTCCTGGCAGGGCCAGGGCCAGGGCCAGGGCCAGGGGCAGCTGCTGCCTGCGGCCTGAGCAAGTGTCTAGGGCTCCTCTCCCCACAGAATGGCTCATCCTCAGGGGCCTGCAGCCCGGCAGCTGAGAGGGGAAGGCACGCCACACAGAGTCTGAGCAGAGCCCCCTTCCCAAGCCCCCGGGTGGACAGTGTGTGCAGCTTCGCAAGAGACAGCCCCCTAGCCCTCTGCTGTCGGATGGATGTCCAGGCCGGGGGGACTGGGCTAAGTCTACACACAGCTCATTAAGGGATCACGCGAAACCACAGAAATCCTGGTCGCGCCAGGCCGTCTGGTCAACCTCTCACTCTCTGTCTCTGCTGCCTCTGCCTCCCGTCCTGCACATGCCAGTCTGGCCCATCCTCCTCACGTGCTTGTGGAGGTCACCCTGGGCCACAGCCAGGGCCAGGCCGACCAGGCCGCAGCAGGTCCGCTCACCTTTTCCCAAGGCCCCAGCCTCTGTCTCCTCTCTGGCCAGCCCTCCTG